ACACACACACACACACACCACACACACACACACACACACACACACACACACACACACACACACACACACACACACACACACACACACACACACACACACACACACACACACACACACACACACACACACACACACACACACACACACACGCACTGTTGGAGCACCACCCAATGGCGGTGGTGGAAGGTTCACCTCTGCTCCGCACGTCTCTTGATGACTGATGGGCTGGTCAATTTATAAAAGAAGGAACTCAAAGCACCAGAATAGAGGTTAAACAATAATCTGTTTTAATGGTAAAAGCAACAATACACAATACAGAGCACTCTGCAATAATAAAAAATACAGAGTACTCCGGGCTCAATACCTACCACCGTGTGATATACGTACCACGACAGCCAGTCAGGAAAAGAGCGCAGAGCATGAGAATATCATAATATTTATACACACAAGTGGGAGGAGTTGTGTAGGTTGCTCCTCCCTAGCTATTTGTTATTGGCGATTTCACTTCTGGGCGAACCCTAGACCGTGAGCTGGTAGTTCCCCATTGGCCGGTTTCACTTCTGGGCGGGACCCTAGGCAATGAGTCAGCAGTTGTTGACTCCATCTGTTTCGCCCCATCTCCTTGCAGTGTGTGTGTGTGTGTGTGTGTGTGTGTGTGTGTGTGTGTGTGTGTGTGTGTGTGTGTGTGTGTGTGTGTGTGTGTGTGTGTGTGTGTGTGTGTGTGTGTGTGTGTGTGTGTGTGTGTGTGTGTGTGTGTGTGTGTGTGTGTGTGTGTGTGTGTGTGTGTGTGTGTGTGTGTGTGTCTATGTCCCTAGGACTCTTTGACAACATCTTTAACGCACACACATCTTAGACGTGTAGCCTTCCAGATGCTTGACATGTTGTGTCTAAATAAGGATGTTTCCTGCCATGCAAACTGCTCCTACTTCATACAGAGTAATTAAGCACACACATATATTTAAGCCAACTACTCCAAAATGTTGTGGCAATTTAGCACGCACGACATGAAAGAATAAAACAGAGAGGAATCAAATAAAACACAAACACAGGTATAGTTACATTACATTACATTACATTTAGCTGACGCTTTTATCCAGAGAGACTTACAATAATGCGTTCGACCAACAAAATACAACCTTGAAGAAAACAGAATCATAAAGTACATCAGGTTTCATAGAGCCAAACATTTCAAGTGCTACTCAACTGGCTTTAGGTAAGCCAGTCCTTTATTAGTATATAAGTGCTTTGTTAATAGTTCTATCGCTGGAAGTGGAGTCGAAAGAGATGAGTTTTCAGTCTGCGCCGGAAGGTGTGTAAGCTATCTGCTGTCCTGATGTCAATGGGGAGCTCATTCCACCATCTTGGAGCCAGGATAGCAAACCCACGTGTTTCTGCTGATGGGAAGTTGATCAATAATCATACAGCATGTATAGCCACTGCAATGAACACCCACATTTTCCCTATGCAGCCTACCACACAAATGTCACATGTTTTCCTCTGCGTCTCATGACTTCCTTAGGATTAGTTAACTAACAAAGGTTAACTGTTCTTATATCCTAAGGCCTTCTCCGAACTTCCTCTAACCTCGAAGTCAGCTCACGTAACATGAATACATCTATTGATAATTCAGAAGGACCATTGTCTCTATAACTGTGTGTGACCCAATTCAGAAACACACCAACATCCTTATCGTTTCTTAGCTAATGCATGCTGGATATGAACCACTAACCAACAAGACCCTAACTGTATTATGTCTGAGGAAGCCCCTCTCTTGGAGTTCCTCTGACCTCTCACCAATTCACTTAACATGGGTACAACTGCTGTTAATTTGCAAAGACCATTGATAATTAGCAAAGAGACTCTTCTTCTGACTTTCTGAAAACATACTCATCCACAGGTAATCATTTTACTCAAGACAGAAATCACAGGCTGTACTGTACCATCACCTACTCACAAATAGCCAAAAAAACATCTTTTGATTATAACACAAAAGTGGAAGAAAAGACCATTTGCGCTAAAACCTACTTCTACTAAAAATGGGACATCATTTTAGGAATATATAATATAAAAAACCTCTCTATATTTAAGAGGACAAAATGGACTTGTCCATCCAAGTTTTAACACACATATATTAGTGATAACATAATTCAACACACTTCTTATATATCAGGTGACATAAAAATGAATATACCAGAAATACGCTGTATTAAACCTTCTGCTATAACACGTTACTTTAATACTTCAACACACACACACACACATACACACACACACACACATACCATGTATACATCACATCAGGGGACATTACATTGACTTACATGCATTTCCTGGAGACTTATCCTAACCTTAACCATAACCAACACATGCCTAACCCTAACCCTTACCCTAAACCTAACCAAGTCTTCACCCTAAAATTAATGATTCCCCTTATGGGGACCTCCATTTTGTCCCCATAAGGGAGGCGAGTCTGTGTAAACAGATTTAGGTCCCCACAAGTATAGTAATGCTAGGCCACACACACACATACATACACACACACACACACACACACACACACACACACACACACACACACACACACCTTACTTAAATGTACAGACAGCTAGGACATATTCACGGGTTACAATTAGTTTTTTGTGTACGTGTGTATGTATGTTTGTGTGTGTGCATGTGTGTATGTTTGTGCGTGTGTGCGTGTGTGTGTGTGTGTGTGTGTGTGTGTGTGTGTGTTTGTGTGTGTGCAGAGGTCCAGGACTACAGTCTGAGGGTCTCCTACATGAAGGACCTGGTCCGCTCTCTGCCTCTTCCCAACCACGACACCATGGAGCTGCTGTTCAAACACCTGCGCAGGTGAGTCCTGGCAGCGCTACATGCTAATATGCTACCATGCTAACATGTTACCATGCACCATGCTCCATGCTCCATGCTAACCCCCTCTGCCTGCAGGGTGGTGGACCATAAGGAGTCCAACAGGATGTCGGTGCAGAGCGTCTCCATTGTGTTCGGCCCCACGTTGCTGCGCCCGCAGACCGAGTCCTCCAACATGACGGTGCACATGGTGTTCCAGAGCCAGATCGTGGAGCTCATGCTCAACGAGTTCCAGACCGTCTTCTCCCAGAGCTAAGACCTGCGGGACATCCTGGACCTGAACCCAGAATCAGAACCAGGTCCACTTTGCCTTAAACTACCGCAGCGGAACCAGCTGGGACCGGGGGTTTAAACCTTTCACAGAACAGAGTCCTCATCCTTCTGGAACCATTTCACTACACTTTTATTACAATACCTGAGTCAGAAGTTGGGTTCAGATCCTCTACGATACCTCAGGTTCCTTTAACCCCAGGTTCTGTTCACCAGCTTCAGAGGACCGTCACTGAGGGTCCAGACGGGTCTTACTGATGCAGCTCATTTTTAAACTTTTCTGCTCTTCAGGGTCCAGATTCTTCTAAAGCCTGTTTTTAATTATGTGCACATTACCTGTGTGAGGTGTTGAGTACATAAGGTTCTCATCACCTGCCTTAAGTAACACTGTTCTGTCAGAGGAACTACGCTGGACCGGTTCTATAAGATCTTCAGGGGACAGACCAAAACCAGCACAGTAATAAAACCACATATCACCTAGAGAAGGAGATCCTCCTCACAGGGGGGACCCACCCAGAACCGCAGACTGGAACAATAACATCAGGACCTCCAGGACATTCAGGACATCTTTACCAGAACTCATCCCCAAGAAAAAAGCTCTTCAGAGCCAAAGAAGTTGGTTCTGAGCCCCGGTTCTGATCCCTGGTCCTGATCCCTGGTCCTGGTCCCTGGTTCTGATCCCTGGTCCCTAGTTCTGAGCCCTGGTTCTGATCTCTGGTCCTGGTCCCTGGTTCTGAGCCCTGGTCCTGGTCCCTGGTTCTGATCCCTGGTCCTGGTCCATGGTTCTGAGCCCTGCTTCTGATCCCTGGTCCTGGTCCCTGGTTCTGAGCCCTGGTTCTGATCCCTGGTCCCTGGTTTTGAGCCCTGCTTCTGATCCCTGGTTCTGAGCCCTGGTTCTGATCCCTAGTCCCTGGTTCTGAGTCCTGGTCCTGAGTCCTGGTCCCTGGTTCTGATCCCTGGTCCTGGTCCCTGGTTCTGAGCCCTGGTCCTGAGCCCTGGTCCCTGGTCCTGGTCCCTGGTTCTGAGCCCTGGTCCCTGATTCTGATCCCTGGTCCTGGTTCTGAGCCCTGGTCCTGGTACTGGATGGTTTCAGAGGATATCTTAATTAAACTCATCAGCTGTCCCCTGAGGTGCTCAGACCCATCAGAACAAACCTAGAACCGGACCTGTAGTGGGGTTCCTCTCTTCTGTCCTCTTTTATATTCTTTAATGAGTAGCGTCTGAAGTGATGCATTCACTGACCCTGGGAAACACAGGTTAGCACAGAAAAGTATTTTGTATTACTTGTAAAAATGAACAACAGCTTGGTATTAAACTGAGAGGTGGGTTCAAAGACCGAAGCGCTGTCGGGGTTTTCCAGCTTCAGGTTCACGAGTCTTTCTAGTATTGCCTTTATGTGTTTTACGGATAGAACAAGTTATGGATTCAACTGAGGGGGGGGGGGGTTCATAAACGATCTGTATTCAGGGGTCTTTATGGGAACATATTAATAAAGAGTTTAATAAATGTCTTTATTTCCTGATGATGATGATGATGATGATGATGATGATGATGATGATGATGATGATGATGATGATGATGATGATGACCAAAACATTTATAAAGATTTAACCTCATGAAATGTTAGTAAAGTAAAAACGTGTTTTATATTTCCTTAAATCTTCAGGAATAAACAGTTACTAAAACAAAAGCAGTGTATTTAATAATTCCTTATATTTATTAATGCGCTTTTCCAGAGCTCAAAGCGCTTTACAAATACACATCACACACATATCATACATGTAACGGGGCAGGGTCGGCTCCAGAACAAATCCAATGGGGGGGCAATCATTTACCACGGGGGGGGCACACTGCCGTCAACAACCAACACACACACTCACACACACACACACAGCACTGTGCGCACCGCGTGCGTCATTACGCATTGGTGAAAGCGAAAGCAGGCTATTTAAAATAGACTGTACTCTTCGTGCATAAATGCAGACAGACCCAACACCATTCAGCATCAACAAAGCCAGGGCTGGCATCTTTAAGTAAATGGAAAGCATGTCTACCTTTAGAAGAGTTGCAAGCGGCGAGTGCTGGTGCTGAACCTCAAGAGAACGCTGTTCTTCCATTCGGTTGTGCATTTTCTTGTTAAGTCTCTCAAACACAAGTTGAACCAGCTGGGCCTTTCTTTTGTGGAGCATTGCACGTCTATGGTCCGAAGAAACCTTCCTTAGGGTGGAGGAAGAACTCTCGCACATCGCTGTGGAGGCGCCAAATGTTACGGCATGTTTGAAAGCAGTCATTATTACGCTTTGCCTTAAGGTGCGTGTGGTAATTGGAGAGGATGTGCTGTATAGTCCAATCCCCCTCGATTGGCTGTGACTGTTTTGCATGCTGAAAAACTGTTTCGCAACTTCGTACTCTGCCTCGATTACAGGCCATCCCGACAGGTCCATAATGCGCCTCGATTACAGGCCATCCCGACAGGTCCATAATGCGCCTCGATTACAGGCCATCCCGACAGGTCCATAATGCGCCTCGATTACAGGCGATCCCGACAGGTCCATAATGCGCCTCGATTACAGGCCATCCCGACAGGTCCATAATGCGCCTCGATTACAGGCGATCCCGACAGGTCCATAATGCGCCGCGATTACAGGCGATCCCGACTGGTACGTAATGCGCCTCGATTACAGCGATCCCGACTTGTCCGTAATACGCCTCGATTACAGGCGATCCCGACAGGTCCGTAATGCGCCTCGATTACAGGCGATCCCGACAGGTCCGTAATGCGCCTCGATTACAGGCGATCCCGACAGGTCCATAATGCGCCTCGATTACAGGCGATCCCGACTGGTCCGTAATGCGCCTCGATTACAGGCGATCCCGACAGGTCCGTAATGCGCCTCGATTACAGGCGATCCCGACAGGTCCGTAATGCGCCTCGATTACAGGCGATCCCGACAGGTCCGTAATACGCCTCGATTACAGGCGATCCCGACAGGTCCGTAATGCGCCTCGATTACAGGCGATCCCGAGAGATCCATAATGCGCCTCGATTACAGGCGATCCCGACAGGTCCCTAATGCGCCTCGATTACAGGCGATCCCGACAGGTCCCATAATGGCCTCGATTACAGGCGATCCCGACAGGTCCATAATGCGCCTCGATTACAGGCCATCCCGACAGGTCCATAATGCGCCTCGATTACAGGCCATCCCGACAGGTCCGTAATGCGCCTCGATTACAGCGTCATATGCGCCTCGATTACAGGCGATCCGACAGGTCCATAATGCGCCTCGATTACAGGCGATCCCGACAGGTCCATAATGCGCCTCGATTACAGGCCATCCCGACAGGTCCATAATGCGCCTCGATTACAGGCGATCCCGACAGGTCCATAATGCGCCTCGATTACAGGCCATCCCGACAGGTCCGTAATGCGCCTCGATTACAGGCGATCCCGACAGGTCCATAATGCGCCTCGATTACAGGCGATCCCGACAGGTCCATAATGCGCTTCACAGCCTTTGCATCAAGGACTGTGTCGCTTTCTGGATTCAGCGCAGCAAGTGGTTTGGCCAGCTGCAAATTGCGCTCGCTGAATCTCTGATCCATTTCTCCAAGCACTGAATCAATCGTGCTGTAGTACAGCTTCTGAAGTTCTGTTTTGTAATCATCCCTGTGTCCTGTAGTTCTCTCGACTACATACCCATCCATCGTCTGGTTGGCTCTGCGTCTCCGTTTGGGCACTTCGGATCTCGGAGTAGCGCTGGCAGCCATGGCCATGTCCCATACTTTGTTAAACTCCTCACCACAACGGAGATTGCGTACACAAGCTGTTGCACAAGCCACGAGACTTAAACCTGTCATCAAGTCAGTATTTTCTCTCTGTAAAATCTTGGTTGGTGGTTCCAGCAGGGACTGTGTGCACTAGCTGAGCAATGAATGGGAAACTGGGCTCAGTCATCTCGCGCAGCAGACCTGTGGCTTCCATTCGTATCTCTGCACTGAATGAGTGTTAGTCAAAAGGGATGTTGTGTCGTTGAAGGATTTTATAATTGCAGACACAGTGGCAAGATGTCCTGTCCATCTCTGTTCCAGAAGGCGCTTAAGGTGCACACCCTTATAATGCACAGCAACTGTGGGCTTCTTGCAGAACTTGTAGAGGGCATTGCACACATGAAAGAAATCCACGAAAGCTGTCTCTGCTGAAATAGCATGTACTACAACTAAGTGTAGCTGGTGGTTCAAACAGTGAGGATCCTCACGACCTCGTTTGTTTTGCAGGAGCTTCTGGACGCCACCATGTTCCCCAGACATCAGAGCAGCCCCATCACATACCTGGCTTAGTATCTTTGTTGTGTCCAGTCCAACGTTGTTGAGCTCTGCCACGACTGTGTCCGTTATGTCTGTGCATCACCTTTGTCAGCTGCCGGTATGACCAGCAGGCGCTCTGTGACGTCATATGTCTCATTTACAAATCGAATGACAATCGAAATGTTTTCACACCCCGTGGGGTCACGGGTTCCATCTACTTTCAGCGTGTAAAAGGAGTCTCCTATTTCCTCCACTATAGCCTCAGTCACCACATTGCTGAGTGCTGAGTGAGTTCATTTTGCATTTCGTGACAAGTGGAAGTGGCGTTTCGAGGGATTGATTTCACTACATCAGCCAATTCTGGGTCTTTTTTGATCGTATAGTCCAGCAGGGAGAGGAAAAGGCCACTGCCCCCCTCTGACATGTTATCAAAAGCCTCTATCTTCCCTCGTAAAGGCAGCTGAAGGCAGAAATCTAACCACATCAATAAGAGAGGAGATATAATACCTGTTTGTTCGTAGTTGGTCTGCGTTAACAAGTGTAGACATCTCCTTTCCAGTGCTGGCACGCCTCTCTCGCTCCTTCCACATTGCATAGCAAGAGAGATGCTCCTTTGAATTTGCATGTTTATGAAATCCCTTGTCTCTCTCCACCGCATTTTTCTAGTTACGGAAGCCAACAGACATAAATACATCCATCCTCCGGGTTTTGCTAGACTGCCGACAGCAGAAACAAAATGCAGCATCGGCCTTGACACTGTTTTCAAGCCAGTCTCGGTTGTGATACCAAGCAGAGACAAACAAACGCCTCCTGCCAGTGAAGATGCTGTAAGGTGGATGGGCTTGGCTAGCAGGTGTATATTGGCTGGTCGAAGAGCACGGCTCCAGCTCTTCAGAGGTGATGCCGGCGATGCTGGAGCTGGGTTCATTCCCTTCGTTTTCCGTCGGTGAAGGAGTTGGAGGAGGCCGTGTAGCAGCTGCACCTTGCAGCCATTTACGTATATCCATTACTTTATGTCCCACAGTCCGAGCTTAGCTTCGTCTCACTGACTTGCTAATAGTGCGCACATTTTTGAAGTAATAACAACAAATCAAAGGCCGGGGTCATTGGTCAAGAAACACACCAATCACCAGTGAGCACACCTCAGGCTGTGTTTTTTATTTATATTCTTTATTTCTGATTTATTTCACACAAGAAAAGTTTCGTGGAAACGTTTTCACTTATAATATGATAAATAAATAAAAAACGGCAAAGTGGCAAGGCTTGCCTGGCCTGCGTGAGGGGGGGCACAGTGACTCATTTGGGGGGGCATGGCCCGTGAATGCCCACACTGTAAACCCGAACGTTCAAAATAATTAAATAGATTAATTAGTGTAAACTTAAATTTAAAAAAAAGTTCTACTAACTTCAATATATTCAGTTCCTGTGACTGTTCTTCGTTTTTGAGTTAAGTAAACTGATAATCTTTGATTAACTTGAACTATTTGGCGGATTAAGTAAGCATCACTTAAACATATACATTGAACTGTACTCATTTCTAATGCTTATTGTGTGTCTGACGTCACTAACCGTCACTAACTGTCGAAAGTGGGATGCAGCACATGCAGTAAGGTGGATCTTCACACTTAATGTCCACACTTTCCGGTGGTAATCAGCATCACTGTAAGTACAATATTCATATTTCTTCACTTTTTTAAATATTTTGAGATTAAACATGTGAAAGAGAGTGTTGATGTTTGCCAGATACATGCATGTTAGCTAGCATTAGCCATAGGTTGAGTCAGCAGATTCACAGAAATGCCTGAATTATTTGCACAGTTACTGTATAATGTTAACTTGTAAGATATGTAGTTGTGGAAACTTGGTGCCAAAATAGGGCTGTCACTTTTTGTATATATGATGAAAAATGTCATTGCCCCTAAGCTAATTATGTACTCAAAAAGTTCAGCCAAATGCATTGTGGTTGTGGGTGCTCGTAGTGACGGCAGCCGTTGAAACACGAACATAACAGGTAGGTTTCCTAATAAAAGCCTTCAATGTTAGTTTAATGAATTTATACTCAAATATATATATATATATATATATATATATATATATATATATATATCCAACCATTTACTTAATTTACTACGAGCAACCCCGAAAGCATTGGACTGAAAGTCACTATTTAACACGGTCACTAGCTAGCTAGTTTGCTAACAGTTAGCAAGCTAACATTTTCATCCACTGTAAACCACGAGGTGCGGAGGATTGTGTGTGCTCCCTCCGTGCTCTCCTCGCTGCCGCTGAATTAATAAACCCGCTGCTAAAGTTTAACACTCCCCTTCACCCAGGTTTCAACCTCTTTATACGGTTTCAACGAGCGTGAGCGTGAGGCCACACACACGGGACGGAGCAGAGCAGAGATAGGTAATGTTACATTGAATATAACGTTGTCAGTTATAAACAAGCTCGGTAGTGAACGCTTGTCCATTTGTTGTCCATTAATTCATCATTTACCATACTAACATTTCCCCAATGGATGTTTAAGAATGTATTAAGCAGTAGCTTACATTACATTTTAAATATAGGATTTGTTCAACCTTCCCCAAGGAGAGGATCCCTCAAGTCTTGAGCACTTCAGGCAGACAATTGTTGAGGAAGTCAAGAAGACTGAGATGGACCTACCCCTCATTAAAAAGATGATGCACACCACATTTGCACTGCGGCGACAGACCATAGTGAGGACATGCCCGGCAGTGAACGAGCTCATGGACCTCTGGCCTGCTCTCAAAATGGAGTCTGAGGTAATATGGATGAGCTCTCTTTTTCCTGTTTTCTTCTTTATTGATAATGGCACATTCTGTGACTCTTATAGTGGCTATTTGCTGTACAGTAGTGCTGTAGCGACGCGTCGACTTCAAAATATCGTCGACGACATATTTCCGCGTCGACGCGTCGCTACACACACGTGGGTCACCCAAAGCAACAAGCAGTTCGCAATCGCACTTCAAACACAATGGAGACTGAAACGGCTACCACCTCCTCCTCACAGGATTGCGCACGAAGCCCCCAAACGAAAACATCTCGCCCTAGGTCTTCAAAAGTATGGGAATATTTTATAGTTAGTCCAAAACGCAAAGATATTATATCTCACTGAGACTGCTGCATAGCCTAGCAGAAGCAGCAGCTAGCTGTGGTGGCTACCATTAGCAGCTAGCATTTGCTCTCCGATTTTTACATAAAATGGAATTATGGATTATAAATTCAATCATTTTTTTATACATAGACGTTAAAAACCTATGGATTAACCGATTCAGCCGCGTTTTTTCTCATTTTATTGCCATTGAACACGTATTTTGATCAGATTGACAGCTACGGTGGTGAGACGATCTCCCGAGAAGCTCTGTGAAGGTACGTGTTGTGATGACTGTATTTGCTTCCCCTGTCGCGAGTCCGGATCACTCATTGATGATACTATATACCTACATAATCTGTGGAGTCTCAGTTTTAATCGGATATCTTGTAAGTGCAGCTACGATAAGTAATAAGGGTACTTTTATCTTGAGTTCTGTGCCAATGTTCGTTAGCATTTTTCGCTCAGGGGTCATTTAGATGCTTCTTATGAGACTTGTGTTTTGTTTTGGTAAACATGGTTTGTATCGTCAGTTAGCTGAGATTATTTCCGTTAATCTGGTATAACACATTAATAGGTTCTTAAATATTAAGATCCCCTGAGACACAGTATCGTGAAAAAAATTACGTTTTTTTTACATTACGTTTTTTATGAATTGAACAACAGAAAAATAATCGTTAGATTAGTCGACTAATCGATCAAATAATCGCCCGATTAATCGTTTTCAAAATAATCGTTTCCCCCCAGCACTACTGTACAGTATATAGGAGTGTCATAGATCTTCAAAGTTCCAGCTCCTTCCCTGTGGTGTAATGTAATGCAAGGAAAAGAACAGTCCAGGTGAAGTTCTCGTTCTTGCCACAGGGAAGGAACTGACTGGTCAAACTTGGAGGATCTATTACATTTGTAAGGAGGATACCACTTTAACCTAGTTTGATTTATTTGGAACTGACTAATTGACATTGCTGTATTGTCCTTCTGCTCTGTTTTTTAAATAGGTGTATGCAGAGTTCCAACGGATTACAAACCAGAATCTGCCCAACACGTTCTACGCTGCTTTTGACCGCCATCTTCCTCGACTGATGGCCATATTTAGACAGAAGGCGTCCAAATCTGGGAAGACAGCTGAGGCTTTGGCTGAAATTTTAAAAATCCACGATGAACAGGTAAAGAGATTATTTTACAATTCAAAGGTTGAACATCTAACGTTAAACAGATTCAAAAAATATCTTTTGAATTTTACAATTAGCCCACTTTGTTTTTGCTATTTGTCTGATTGCATTAAAGATGTGAACAGGTTGTCTGTGGATATATGTTCTGATTGGATTGACAGGTTCGTTCAGTAAACTTCACAGTCAACAGTTTGTACGCTTGTATTTTTATCGTTATAGGAATTACACGACATCAACACCAGGCGTACCACCGTTATCCATGCCCCTCCTGTGTATCTGCAAGAGGACACCTCTGGATTTTTCCGAACCTGCACAGTGAGTGTCCTTAATTCATTAACAGTACCACTCTATGTTAAGTGAATAGTTCATTAAAATACAAATATTTTTTTGCACTTATCCTGTTTCTGTCTATCCATCCATATAGTTTGTGTGATTTGCAGAGGTTTTGGTCTGTTTTCCTTCACCCAAATACAAATGAACTGAATCGTTTTTTTTGTTTGAAGCGATACTGAAGTTAAGTAAAACTTTTATTGGATATGTTTTATCCCCTGGCACTTGGTTTCACTGGTAGCTCGTCTGATTCTTTGGTGTAGAACACCTGTTTTACACCTTTTAATGTGTAGTCTGTTGACAAAACAACTCTCTAAAACATAGTTCTAACTAAAATATGAACAACTTGAAAACATATCTCCAAGAGTTGCAGTCAAAAGATATTGCCACACAGAAAATCACGATTTTTTCAAATGTTCCTGCGAGGCGCGTGTGGCGGTCTAATCCCTTAAGCCAGTGGTTCTCAACCCGTGGTATGTGTACCACTGGTGGTACGCCAGCTCCCGCTAGCGGTACGCGGAGGAATCTGACATATAACAAGTAACATGTAATGTAATGTAATGCATGACCAACACCCAGTTTGTGATTATTATCTCTCTTTCATTCATTTAGGAAGAGTCCGAACCAGAGCTTGGAGGTGTTGCAGTGGCCCTCCTTACTGTCACCAGTGACAATGGCACAAGTCAAGTGCAATATCAGCCTGTGACCATCTTTGTTGTCATCAAAAATGATATTGTGGTCAGCCTCCCCAGACTTGCAGATGCATTCCTGGTAATATTTGGACTAATTTATGCACTACACCTCAGCTATTCCAAAGGACTGACAAACACTTTCGAGTTCACTCAGAAGGTTTTACTTGGTCTGGAAGATGGTAAATTGTCGCCCAAGTTGCAGACCTTCAAGAATGACTTGCTGATGCATGTGTAGAAATGCATCTGAAAAACAGGTGGGGCATTTTAAGGCATTTTGCCTCTACTTCAAAGTGATTTCCTCCTGAAATAAAAATGTCTTAAGAAAGTTGCTGTACCAGTTGCTGCAGGTTTTCAGCCAGGTGGTCAAGCTGCTCAATGTTCCCTTTTACTTGTACATGTTGTATTAATGTCAAATGTGTACTGTTTACCATTGTTCACATCAAAGTATCTTTGATTTTGAGGGATGACTGTTTGTACTTTAATAATACCAAATATTTCTGATTAACCGGCATTAATCATGTTTGTTTGTTGTTGTTGTTGTTGTTGTTGCACTTTAACTCATCCAGATGAAGATTTGATACTTGTTCATGTAATTCATTTACATTTTAGAGTTTTACAGTTAAAGGGTTCAGACTGTCATTGTGATTTTATCAAAGTTGTTGCTCTATTCAGGTTTTAACCAAAATGTGCCAAAAGTACAATTGCCTTTGCATTTTTTTATTTTTTTTTATGACTACTTATTTTACTGTCTTGTAAATGTTAACAGGACAGCATGTTAAATAGGAGGGCTAGAAAATAAGAAATTTAGTAAAGCTGTTCAAGTTAGTCGCACTCGATTCAATTGAGGCAATCAGTTGTGTCAATGTTTTTAAGTTTTAAGTTATGTGATTTTGAGTTGACTAAGTCAATGTGTTTGGTTTGGTTGAAATAATAAATATTGAGTTCTGTTAACCCAAAAAAAAAAGACTTTGAGTACTTATGTCTTTAAGTTCTGGTAACTTAATCCATTAGTAGAGGTGAATTCAAATGTTTAAGTCACAGTACCTGAACATATTTGAGTTGACTTAATAAGCCATTTTAATTTTACTGTAATCAATAGGTACATGTAGCATTTAATCCAATTATTTAAGTTCTTGAAAATTGTAAGTTTTGAGTTGATTAACTTAAAATACTTGAGGCAATCAGTTGCCCTAATTTTTTTGAGTTAAGTTGACTTATTGGGGCTTACAGTGCACCCATGACGCCGACCCTGTAACGGGGACAATACCTACAGGAGCAAATTCAGGTGAAGTGTCGCCCAAGGACACAACGGCTTTACAGACGCAGCGGCGGCGGGTTTCGAGCTGGGTTGCAGTCGAATGGTCCGTTTCTCTTAGGAACCTTCCTGACGGAGTGAAATGACCCGGAAGTCCCTCAGTGGCATCCATGATAAGTGCCGTTCCAATTCTCTAGATCAGGGATGGGCAAATGGCGGCCCCCACCTCCTCTTTTCGCGGCCCTCAGATTAATTTATAAACAACGTAATTAATAAAAAATAAAAAAAGTATTATTATGTTTTTTTACTTGTAGTACTGATACCATCCACTAGACTCCTAGTCACGTCGCAAGCTGCGTACATGATTTCGTTAGGCAGCCAAATAGCGCGATATAATCTGTGACGCGTTTGTGTGTATTGTGTTTGTTTCCCGCGGAAACCCTCACAAGAAACACCGGCTGTTGTTACGCCTGCTGTGACGTCAAGTTGCCTCTTGTCATTATGCCGAAGCTTCAAAGTGTATTTATCATCTGAATTTGGCGAAACAAGTTTAATATTCTCAAAACCAAGACTTTGTTTATTTGAAATCAGATGTAAACAAACTGTAACGGACCCTGCCGTGTTATCTATGATTACTCTACGCTTTTCAGCGGAGGGAGGGGGAGCGGCGCTGAGGAACAGCAGAGAGCTGACAGGTGTCTGTGTGGACACTCCCCTTGTTGTGCGTCAGCAGAGACAGGCTACAAGTGTCTTAGGTTCATGTCTGGGTTAGAGTTCATGACTTCATGTTTATGTCATCTTAATGGTTCATCTCAACTTGCCAAAGTGCTTTGTTCTGAACGTTCATCAGTATTATAATCAAAGAGAGAAATATGAACGTTAGTTTTTACTGAAATGATCAAATAAAGTCAACATCTCACAGTCTTCACAGAGCTGTGGGGTTTGTTCAACTTTTAAAAGATGTTTGAATGGTGATATACACAGTGATAGATGTTAAGGACTAACGTTTATAATAAATACATCTGTATTGATTTAAGATCTTTTTATCAATCATACGTATTGGGATCATTTGTATTAAAGTGGACCGGAGGGAGAGGGGGACGAGCAGAAGTTTCACTTTCCTTTTTATTTCAATTCCAGCTTTGGTCCTGAAGAATCTGTGTCTCTGTTGTCCACGTTCATAAAGCAACAGCATCAGAGCACAGAGTCTCTAGATGAGTTCACAGGAGTCCCTCGTTCTTATTGAACATCCATGTTGTAGTCCGCTGTATAGAGAACTGTAGTCTCCATAGTTTCCCCACAGCAGCAGACGCTCATTCAGGACGTCCGCTGGCGCATCAGAAACACGTGGGATAGTGAAAGTGCAGTCGATTCACTAAAGTACCACAGTCTCTTCTCCTAAGTCCTTTTGAATTCTCCTATCCACTATCCCTTAACCCCGTGACCTTTCTCTCAGAGGTTAAGGGATAGACGATAGGGTTAGACGATAGGAGCTGATTGTTGGACTATCCGACCGCATCCGTAGACTTGCAAGATATAATGTGATCTCTATTAACCGGAAGACGATCTCTCTGTTTTTCTGCCTCTCCCTTTCTTTTGCTGCTTGCATCTGCTTCTGCAAAAGCCATGTCCAATGGCTCCATCTTCTATGTATTCCACCTGGTCATGCCAATCATGTGCGATTCACTGCAGCAGTGCTCCTTCATTCTTACTTGTTCCTGCTTCCACCCGCCTCCACCTGCCTACACCTGCCTCCATCTGCTGCTCCACCTGCCGCCATCACACAATAAACCTCTCCATAAAGCAGGGACACGTACCCAAAGACTTCAAAATTGCGAGAGTAACTCCCCTGCACAAAAAGGGCAGCAAATTGGACCCAGGCAACTACCGACCTGTTTCTATTCTTACCTCCATCTCGAAAATCATGGAAAAAATAGTATACGAACAGGTCGAAAAGTACCTCGCGGATAAAAATCTAATTTACGAATTCCAATCTGGCTTCAGAACATCCCACTCCACTGACACATGCCTTCTTTATTTGAACGACCACATCAAACAAGAGGTGGACGCGGGAAAATACTGTGGCATGGTCAATCACTCCATTCTGATTGACAAGCTAAAAGCAATTGGTTTTGATAAACTATCGGTGAGCTGGATGCAATCCTACCTGGAGGGGAGAGAACAGATGGTGGAGGTAAACGGTACTCTACCCCCCCCCCCCCCCCCCCTCCCAGTGAGCTGTGGTGTTCCACAAGGAAGCATATTAGGTCCGTTACTGTTCCTAATTTATGTAAATGACATGTCGTCAGCTTGTGACTGCAACTTGTTCCTGTTCGCGGACGACTCAGCCCTGCTGGTCTCTGGCAGGAACAGGTTGCAGGTTGAAAAAACCCTCAGCTCCGAACTCGGCAGAATCTGCACCTGGCTCGCCGATAATAAATTATCATTACACCTGGGTAAAACAGAGTCCATTCTCTTCGGTTCAAAAAACAAACTCAGCAAGACCGATGGCTTCTCAGTTGCAGTGGGTGACAATATTGTCACAAGGAAAGATGAAATTACATACCTAGGTTCCATACTAGAGGCAAATCTCTCCTGTGACAAAATAGCATCCAATGTAATCAAAAAAGTCAACCAACGAACTAGATTCTTGAACCGGATCTCCTCTCTGGTAAACAAGAATACCCTGAAGACTCAGGCAGGAGCACTCATTCAAGGGTACTATGACTATGCTTGCACGTCATGGTACCATAGCACCTCCAAGGCGCTAAAAACAAAATTACAAACATCACAAAACAAACTAGTCAGACTACTGCTTGACCTTTCATCTAGAACCCACCTCACCTCTGCCCACTTTGACAACCTAGGATGGCTTAGAGTAGACGACAGAGTACAGCTACTTGCAATGGGCCTGGTCTACAAGATCCACTACACCTCTATGGTACCCATGTACATGTCAAAATACTTCCCAAAGGTCAAGGAATACCATGATCATAACACCAGAGGGAGCTCCACAAATCATGTGAAACCCAGATTTGGCACAAACAAGGGACGAAACACGTTTCGCAATGATGCCACAACAATGTGGAACGCTCTTCCCACAGCTGTAAAGGAATGTAAATCACTACCTTCAAAACCTTTCTAAAAGATTAACTACGGGAGACTGCAATTCAAAACTGGCCCCTGTAAATGTCCAAACCCACCCCCCTACAATATACAGTTCCCCCCCCCCCCCCAATGTATAGACTATTTTTATACTCAAACAGTACTGTATATTTGTAGGTCTGAGTAGTTATACTCATGCCACTTTCGTCTCATTAGTATGCATATAAAGTGACAGGTCACACCTATAAGTCACGCCCCCTTCCACCAGAAGTCCCGCCCCACTTCCGGTTTTCAAAATTAAAAAAATTAAAAAATTACAAATGAGAAAAATAAAAATGCTGCCCCTACCGGTCGCCCCCACTTCCGGTTTTCAAAATAAAATAACATGAAATTTAGCAACCATGAGAAAAATAAAATGCTGCCTCTACCGGTTTTACAAAATATTTTTAAAATGAATCACATTAGTATGCATAGGATCAATGTCCAGCCACCTAACCACTTCCTGTGCCCCCTAATCCTGTATACAGTATTGACTGTAATTTACAAATACTTGCAAATAACATGAAATATAGCAACCATATATTTAAAAAAAGTAATGTCAATCTCTCTCTCTCTCTCTAACCCCTCCTTGCTCTAAAGAGTTCCGTGAAAAGTTTTGTGAACAGTCTGGACATGTCTGAAGACAAGTCAGGACAAGTGTGAGAGAAATCATAAAACCCCCTGACATCCTCTACAGTCAAATGGTGTGTGTGTGTGTGTGTGTGTGTGTGTGTGTGTGTGTGTGTGTGTGTGTGTGTGTGTGTGTGTGTGTGTGTGTGTGTGTGTGTGTGTGTGTGTGTGTGTGTGTGTGTGTGTGTGTGTGTGTGTGTGTGTGTGTGTGTGTGTGTGTGAGAGGAGACGGTCTGAGGCTGTAAAAATACAGAGTCTACGGATTCAAGGCAAATGGTCAGAGCAAAACAGAGAAAGCAGTTACATCTACTATCTACATGTTTTTTGTAATGTGTATGCATATATTTTTATATATATGTGTGTATATATATATATGTGTGTGATATATACATACATATATACAGGAGAATAGCCTAAACCTAAAAAGTATTTGATCTGCCATAAAAACCAAATACAATATAATGCTAATTTGTTAAACAATCAGGAATAACCCTATTGGCTGTTTTTAGAGTCATTTACATATTGCGTTGCCTATAAGTAGGGTCAGAAACATTTCGACAGCCTCTCTTCGCTTTTCCCCATCAGGCCCAGATCTTTTGAAAATATATGGTAAGTACTTTATTGTTATGTTATAATAGCATATAGTTAGTTAATGCTGTTTGATGTGTGTTAAAGAACCTCTATGCATCTGTTGTTTTTCTATTATGTAAGATTGTAATTATTTAGAAGCTTTAATGAAGTATCCTTCTAAGTACAAATAATGTGGTGTACATTTTTTTACTATAAGTGTATTTAGCTATATTTCTTAAAATCAAATATGTTTTTCATGTGAAAGTATCCAGAATAACGTACTCTCTTGTTTTTAAAAAAAGTGGTTGCGCCCCTCCTGCAGCTGGAATGGTCTCAACACAGACGGTGTTTGAGAATTCAAACCT